GTTTTGTTTTCGGCTGTGGCTCAGTCTTACAAGATGACCAGCCCATCACAATTACTTCAGAAAAGTTTTCATGCATCCCATTTTGCTCTTTGCAAACATATCACCATTTGAGACATTTTCTTCGATTGTATATCCTTAGATTAAGCGAAGGCCGCCAAGATTCAGGTTAGTACAAAAGTCCAGTGAGGGCAAATGTGTTAGAGGCTTTGGTTATTTGATAGACAATTTCGTCATCACGGGAAGCGTAAGGGTTCACTTTGGTTCCTAGGCTTATTCAAAATATTTTTATAGGGATTAATGGAAAATGAGATGATTGTTTTTACTTGATACATCTTATCTGCTTGGGTGAAGGCGATAGTTGATAAAAGAGTTCTTTTGGTGTGATAGATAACTCATATTAAAAAAATGGGTATTAGAAACGGGAATTTACTCTACACTCCTTTGCATTAACAATAGAAATAAAACATTTTATATATTAAAGAAAGACGAAACATTTTCTTTATATTTCGTATTAAATATTGATTAAAAAAAGAAGAAACAGAAAATAGTTGTCATACTTTGCTATTTATTTAGCATAATCGTAAACTTTCAGATTAGAATTATTTGGACTTACACACCCTTGTGCAAATTAATAGAAACAAAACGAATAATTCCGTTATTTACTTTTTTTTCTTCCAATAAAACATGAGCCAGTTAGTACTTTGTATTTCAATTCAACGTTCCTTGCAGATTGACCACAGATTCTCGATTGGATTTAAATCAAGAGATTATCCGTGCCAGTCTATAGTACTTTGATTTGTTCACTGTTAACGCTTGCCAATGCAGTCGTGTAGTCTTACCATTTTTGTACGCTTCCTCAGAGTAACAGACAATTGCCGTAGGACAAGTAATCGACAATCGAGACAACAGTGTTTGGGCATGATGAAAAGCTCATGCAATAACTCATGACGCAATATTTTTCAACAAAACATATTTCATCATACACATCGAAAATTGGTTTATATTACTGCACAGCACTCTAAATGACCTCATCTGAGTAAAAAATAGAAATCGATTACACCCTGTCACTCCAGTGGGTCAAAAACTGACCGTATGATGAAAGAAAGGAAAATAAAGCGGTTGTTTCAATTAATTTGCACAAGGGTGTAGTTTTCGTTTTAAATTCTCTTGTTTTGTTTTCATTGGTTGTCTGGACCTCACGTATGTATCAGCGTTCGTAATTATTATTTTTATTATTATTATTTTTATCAGCGAAGAAACCTCTCCAAAGTTTGTTCAGATAAGCAACATTTCTGGGGAAGAAACTGCGCGAATAAAAATACTTACTTGATAATGGAATCCGAAAATGACATTCGACTATGTGTAGTGCGTCCTAGCTGTGAAGGTTTGAATTAGTGGAACTAAGGAATGTAGCTTGTCTGAACATTTGCAATGGAAATAGCGATAAATTGAAAAATGTTTAGCTACTTTTCGTTTGCAGTAAAGGCGGAAAATTATCCATCGAATTCGGTCAAGTTTGGCTCGGGAGAACTCGACAGATCCTGCATTTTTAATCTTGATCAAACTGAAACACCTAATGCACTACAATTTGATTTTCTGTCAGTATATATATATATATATATATATATATATATATATTAATTTAAAGAAAAATATAGACCATTTGAGGCTCAAAGCCCTGAAGTGTGGTTTGTTTTTTCTTTTAAAATAAATTTTTTACTCTGAATTAACATTATTGCATATATTATATTATATTATATATATATATATATATATATATATATATATATATATATATATATAAACGGAAAGCTGATCATTTTAAAAATTTTCAGTTATCTGTTTTTGGATAAGACTTGTTTTTTATGTCCATCGTCTTTGTCAAATTGAACTGAATTGTATTTTAATGAATATTGTCCTGAAGAAGGCTTATTAAACCCAGAAACGTCAGACGTCGACATTTCATTCATTTTAAACAACATAATTGCATTTACGGATTTTTTGTTTGTTTTTCCAAATTTTCTTCATTCTGTCGGATCTATATCCATTTACATTTGCTTACATATATATATATATATATATATATATATATATATATATATAAATCTCTCGATTACTGCGGCTAAAGTGTACTTCAGTAAGTTCGTTCTCTGTGTCACACCAAATTTTTTCCTCGTCTGTGTCGATCCTTCAAATCTACAAATCTACCATTCGCCCTTGCATTGAATACTGTTGGCATATCTGGTCTGCTGACCCCGCCGTTTCTTCTGTATCATATTTTCATTGGTTGTGTCATCTTCGCGTGTATATTTCATAGCGTCTGTGTGCATCTTAAATCTTTGAAATATTAGTTTAGTTTGTGTATTAAACATTAGGCATAATGTGAGGAATGGTGGAAGAGGAATATGATGTAATATAATGTTAAACCATTTGCATTTCTTTCAGTATCGATTTTATGAACATGGGTGATACAGAAATTTGTGTCTGGTTGGTATTAGGAAATATCTATATAGACATATTTTGAGTGTCTAACATGGATAATTTGAGAAGAAAGGTAATTAGCCATTGTTCGTCATTTTATCACCATCATAAATCAGTCTGTGATGACGTTGAACGGAAGTAAAATTAATATATATATATATATATATATATATATATATACATACACATATATATGTGTGTGTATGTGTGTGTGTGTGAGTGTGTGTGTGTGTGTGGTGCAGTTCAGTTTATATTACATGAATAATTCATACAAAAAGTAGATTAGTAAAGTTAATGATATAAAATGGCGAAATCTCTTCTCAAACAAATTTTTTTAAAGTTGCATTAACCTACGAACCACTCGATGAATGTTATGATCCTTGTTTTTAATAACTACAAGTTGTATAAGGTCTTTTTTTAATCTGCAAGTACTTTCAACTGTACATTCAGTCATCTTCAGGCATGAAAATTGTTTTGTTTTTTTAATTAAATCCAGGTAGTAGCGGAGACGAAAGATTAAATGCGAATCGAAATATGTTTTTTTAAAAATGTTTTATTGTTAACGGACAAAAACTTTTGGAGCGTGCAGTCAAACGCTAAGGTTGAATTTTTGATTTTTATATATATATATATATATATATATATATATATATATATATATATATATATATATATATATATATATGCTGCCTTTTCAAGAGGCAAAGAATATTGTAAATCAGATTTCGATCTGAAGCACACATTTTGAGCTTACCTTTAACATAAAAAGACTAAAGTTGTTCGCCAACAACTACACTCACCCAAGCAAATAAGAAGGATTAAGCAGAAACCATTAACTCAGTACTTTTTTTCTTTATCTCTATCAAAATAGAGTGAAAAAGTATTAAAAAGTATTAAACGGTAAACTCCGTCACACATTTTAATGGAAAATCCAGAGCACATTATTTTGTAAGTTAAAATGAATATCGTACGAGTGGGCGTATAGATTTGGAGTTTTCACCAACCGTTGATTCTTCTGGAGTGGGTTTATTATATATGCCTCTATCATCAGCTGCCTCACGTATGCATATCCCAAGCTTAGCCCGTCGGCTACCTGACATATTGCGAGGTGTGAATCTGCTAGTGTTCAATTTCTGTTCCAACCCGCTGATGCACCAGGGTTCTTTAGGGCTACAGACGGACACTGAGTATAAAAAACTATTTTAGCATCATCATGTCTGTCACATTATAAAGTAGGGTTAATATTGGTAACGGTTTTACAGCTTTTAAAGTCAGATAGTTAATCAGCAAAAACCGTTGTCGTCAAGCCGCTTCGGGGATTGTCAGAGACTTATACCGCATTAGAAAATGCCTTAGCTCACTTTCCAAGTTCATTACAAAATTTCCTTCATTACAAAACAAACAAACATATGTTCTATCATTACAAAAGTCAGGTCAGTCACAAAATCGGCTATTCTTACTGATCAATTCACTTCTCTGGTTACGCACTTGACAATTTTCAAGAGCATTTATGCGGCCTTGTGGGCCATGAATTATTTCCCGCCTTCTAACTCCATCTCCATATTTCGATCTAAAATCCGCCATGTCATTTATGCAGCGACGAATCATCCATATTCTCTTCGTACACCATTTATTTGGCGGAAGTTCCACTCCATCAGCTTCTTTCCGAAAAAGACTAATTTGTGGAACAGACTCCTGTGATGATGCTTCCCTGATGACTACAATCCTAACGTCTTTAAGCACAAGGTCAATTGTTATCTAATCTACATATCCTCATAATCAGCACTTCTTATCTCAGCCTCTTATAAAACAACTTCATTCAGTAAACCTTTACCTTGAGTTGCTCTTAGGCCTTGTATTTGGTTAACGATCGCATAGATGAAAGATCGCCTCCTCATTTATGAGTGTAGATACCACTCATCTTATGTGACCATAATTACAAGCTACCAACATAGAGAGATGCGTTTAATGTATAATGACGGGGTACTATTGCATAAGGAAGCGCAAACGATTGCAAACAATAAAATTCCGATACGAAATCATTTGACCAACCCAGACACTGTTGTCAATGTCAGTGATTACCCAGGAGGCAAAACACTTAAGAAATAAGTTGTTCCATGAATCAATACGAAGACTTGAAAAAATGTGAAAGGTAAGTAATGCATCGGCAAAAAGAGGAAACATGTGAGACAAAGGAGAAGGAAATAGGAAAAGCGTTGAGAGAAAAAAACAAAACAAAAAAACTTACACGATAAAGACAATAACGGATTAAATAGTGGGGGGGGCATATTTTAAAGAATGCAAAACGTAGCGATGAAAGAAATTTAAAATCAAGAAACTTCAAAGGGGAAGAAGAAATGAAAGCAAAATCAATGTGCGAAATATATGTCTTGAGAGAAAGAAAAGGATGACAAAAAAAACAAACAAAAAAAACAAACAAAAAACAAACAAAAAAAAGAACAGATATAATTAAAAAAAGGCCCAGAAAAATAGTTTTAAAGAAAGAACTTATATAACGTATGTTCATATCTATCTATCTATCTATCTATCTATCTATCTATCTATCTATCTATCTATCTATCCGATTTTGTTCTATCTCTCTATATATCTATCTATTCGCGTTTGTTCTATCTATCTCTCTCTCTTTCTCTCTCTCTATGTATCTATCTATATACTTATCTATCCGAATCTGTCCTATATATCTGTTTATATATCTATTTATCTGAGTGTGTTCTATCTCTCTATCTTTCTATATATTTATCTATCAGAGTTCGTTCTATCAATCACAATATATCTATCTACCCGAGTCTGTAATCTATCTATCTATCTATCTATCTATCTATCTATCTATCTATCCGAGTCCGTTCTATCTCTCTCTCTCTCTCTCTCTCTCTCTCTCTCTCTCTATCTATCTATCTATCTATAAGGGTCCGTTCTATCTCTCTCTCTCTCTCTATCTATCTATCTATCCGAGTCCGTTTCATCTCTCTCTCTCTCTCTCTATCTATCTATCTATCTATCTATCTATCTATCTATTTATCTATCCGAGTCCGTTCTATCTATCTATCTATCTATCTATCTATCTATCTATCTATCTATCTATCTATCCGAGTCCGTTCTATCTCTCTCTCTCTCTATCTATGAATATATATATATATATATATATATATATATATATATATATATATATATATATGTGTGTGTCTGTGTATATCCGAGTCCGTTCTCTCTCTCTCTATCTATCTATCTATCTATATATATATATATATATATATATATATATATATATATATATATATATTTATATATATATCCGAGTCCGTTCTATCTCTCCCTCTCTTTCTCTATCTATCTATCTATCTATCTATCTATCTATCTATCTATCCAGTCCGTTTCAATCTCTGTCTCTCTGTCTCTGTCTCTGTCTCTCTCTCTCTCTCTCTCTCTCTCTCTATATATATATATATATATATATATATATATATATATATATATATATATATCCAGTCTGTTCTCTCTCTCTGTCTCTGTCTCTGTCTCTCTCTCTCTATATATATATATCCGAGTCTGTTCTCCCCCTCTCTTTCTCTCTCTCTTTTCTCTCTCTCTCTCTATATATATATATATATATATATATATATATATATATATATATATATATATATATATATGAGTCTATTCTATATATCTATCTCTCTCTCAGAAAAAAAAAAAACCTTTAAAGAAAGGACAAACAGAACATGAGGAAAACGATATTGATAAGAAAAGAAAATCAAACAGAGGAAGAGAAACAGGGAGAAGAAGATGAAGAGATAAAAAAAAAGAAACTGAGAATAAAAAAATCTTGGGAAAAATATGAACAAAATAGAAAAAATGATGAAAATGAACTGAAAAATTGAAGAAGAAATATTAAAAAAATAAATCGATATGAAGAAAAAGGCGGGATATGTCGAATAAATACTAAGAAGCAAAAAGAGGAAACAGAAAAAAAAACGTAATCATGATGATCGAGATGATAAAATATCAAAAACGAAAAAGAGTAAGAGGAAGAAATGACGAGGAAAATAAAGAGAATATAATAAAAAGATATAGAGGAAGATAATAATGAAGAAAAAAAGAGTGACTATAAGAAAAAAAAAGAAGAAAATAATGGAGAAATTAAACAGAATATAAAATAAAGGGGATGATAAAGAAGGGAAACAAAATGAGGAAGAAAATAATAAGGAAAAGAGAAACAATGTAATAAAAAAGAGAAGAAAGTAAAGAAAAGAAGCGGAAAATAAGTACAAATGTACTTACATTATTCGGACTGTTATTCTCATCTTCATTGTCATATTCACAACGTTTCGGCCATTTTAAGTTTCGACCTTCTTCGGGTGATTTGAACTTCGAACCGAACCTTTATTTCGTCCACCGGGCTACGTTGTTCTAGTTTCACGTGCCATTCCACTTCCGGATGACTCAGTTATTTTCCTTTAACTTAACTCTCTGAGTTTTGATTCCACTACTGCTGTGGCCTGGTATTGAACTCACAACTCTAATCAGTGGATCTAACCAACGTCTTGGATCAAGTCTCTTTGAGTACATCAATGTATACATTTTTTGGGACTTATAAAACTAATATCTCAGCCTCATTTTTTTACCACACTCATATTGCAATTTTTCTCTTAATATTGTATTTTTTTTTTTACTGGAGCTTATATTGCAATTGTTTTTGTTATTCATTGCTTTTCCCTGGTACTCCTTATTTCTGGTTCCCATATTGTATTCATTTCTATGCTTGGTCGGCCAAGGAAATTTTTGTGGCATAGCATATGTGCTGATTCCTTAATTTTGCAGATTTTCCAGTGATTCTCTCTATTATTTCAAGTTCATCCAACAGGGCTAACAGTCCGTATAATGTAAATAATGCAAGATATATATTTCCTTTTTATCAGGCGCGGCTAGATGTCTATTCAACAAGATATGAGATATGTTCCCTGTCCATACATTCTCATCCATTTACGAAAGTTTTACCCGTTAGGTAGAGAACTCGATGTTGTATTCTGATGCTCTTGTCTTCAGTATATTTTGAGTCAAATTATCCAACTCCCCTTTTCTCCGTATATGCCTCAGTAATTTCAACTTTTTCTGTCAGTTTGGTTTGGTTTGGCTTGTTTTACGGCATATCAACCTCAATGAGTCATTTAATGTCCACAACTTTTTTTTGTAATATTTTGTTTTGTCAAAAATCTATTTCTGTCAATATTTTTTCCTCAAAAATGTATAGATGGTAATATTTCTTTCCTGAAAAACGTATAGCTGGTAATATTATTTTTTCAAAAACACATAGCTGGTAATATTTTTTAAAAAACGCATAGATGGTAATAGTTATTTTCAAAAAAGTGTTTCTGGTAATATTTTTCTCTTCAAAAACCCATTTCTGGTAATAATTTTTTACAAAGTACTTCTGGTATTAAAACATATGTTTACACTTTTATAATGCTTTTACCTCAGTTTCGGGGATAACTATTTGCCCATAGCTGGGACCCTAATAAGTGCTACCACCCCAGGTCAGGGTGGAACTGGGAACACCACAAATTAAGAGGTGGTCCCACGATCCTTAAAGCCTCCTGATTAGAGGCCTTGCTGTTGGATGTAGTGTATCTTCTTACCAAGGACACGGATGTAGTTTATCTTCATACCCAGGACGCTTTTCTATCAGATTCTAAATATAAATTTCAATTTTGTCCCCATTTTTCTTCGTCACATATTCCGTCCATCATATTGTCAGCATCCTTCTGTAGAACAACTTTTCTCTTTGTTCAAGTATCTTCGTCTTCTGTGAGGAGATTATCCAGCATTCATTCTCATAGAGAAGGAAGAATATTACATACAAGGTCAGCACTCACTTATTTGTTATATAGCTTATAGAATGCATTTTTCTAATGCACATTTGGATGTTGGCGCCCTCCGATTTTCCGTTCTCTCAAGGTTAAAATCACATATACGCAATTGTATTTAAGAGCCACTTCGCATGCGTCGCCCATATGCGCATGCGCGTGTGTACACAATGACATCGTTGATTATACAGAATGCGACAGAAATATATTCCACATAAGTGATAATGGTGTCTTTGTCTAGCTAATGTCTTGCCATTATGGAGAAGATTTTTCCTGGAGGTAATTGCGAAGTTATGCTCACAATATAATTGGTATTAACCAACTAATGTTAGTAATCTTTTCAGGATGTAGTTATTCAATAGATGAATCAATAGAATCTAGTTAAGCAGTTTTTCTAGATTTATAATTATCATTACAGATATTTAGTAAGATATACAGAAGAGAGTTCCGATATTGTAAATGTCACGGTGGAGTAATGGATAGCGACTCGGATTGAGGAATCGGAGTACCAAGTTCGAATTCCAGTCGAATCCATTACATTCACTTACGTACTAATACCCTTGGGAAAGGTATGAATCGTCTTCATGATCTGAAGAATGACAACCTACTGAGAGAAAATTTTCATTATTCGGACTGTTAACCCTGTTGGATGAAGTTGAAATAATAGACAGAGAGCGTCAATGGAAAATCTGAAAACTTAAAGAATCAGCACATATGCTATGCTGATCAAGCATAGATGGGTAAATAGCAGGTTTCTATTGTATTGGATGGAAACTGGTCTACCGCAGAAAGAAATTACAACCTACTGCGGGAAAAAAAACTGCCTCGTCAGTCATGTATCGAAAGAAACATGATCGCCTAAGCGTGTATCATAAGCGGCTCATAACTGATTGGTTTATGGCAGGAAAACATTATAAATTGCGAAACGATCGAACGGAGAATTTCAGAAACAAATTTGAAAATATTAGCAAAATAAAGCCAGAAAAGAACAACTGGCTTTAAGAGTATTTCAAAAATAGGTTTAGGAAAATTTAAAAATGTAATAACTAAAAAAGTGAATTGACTAGCAGGAAAATATGCGGAGATGCTTATATGAAGAGATCGAAAAATGCATTATAACCGAATTTACCGCGCATTGCTGCGTCTCATAATTTTTTAAAGAAAATCATGAATGATTTTAAATCATTGTTATAATTTCCGGAGAAAAATGTTGCATTTCGAAATTACTCAATGATCTTGCCGATGTGACCTCCATCTTCTGGCTTTCTCCTTCTATATTTTGGATAGGAATCATTCCCTTGTTCAAATTTAAATTTAATCAAATTTAATTTAAATCAATGGGAAAAAAAAAACTTTCCGACGGTAGGGTGCAAAGACAGCTTGTTCTTATCCCTTTGGTATATATTTGGTGCAATAAGTGATTGAATGAAATGATGAACAGATTTCATCATTGATATGTCAGTTGAATTGTTGCAACAAATATGTGTTGTAAAGAACTACCTAACGACTAGTGGCTCTTTGTTCAACTTGACATACATATTGACTCATTTTGATTTTGCTGATGTCACCTCCATCTACTGCCTTTCTCCTATATTTTGGATAGAAGTCATTCCTTTGTTCAAATTTAAATTTAATTTAAATCAAAAGGAAAAATATTTTTAGTGGGTGCGTGTATGTGTGTGTGTGTGTGTGTGTGTGTGTAAAAACAACTTAAACTGAGCCCTTTGATATGTATTTGATGCAATACTTTATTGAATGGATTGATGAGCAGATTTCAATATTGACATGAGCGTTGAATTGTCGCAACAAATATGTATTGTAAGGAACTACCTAGTGACTGGTGATTTCATGATCAACTTGACGTCTATATAGCCTTATTTTGATCTTGCGATGTGACCTCTATCTTCTGGCTTTCTACTTCTATATTTTGTATAGGAGTCATTCCCTTGTTCAAATTTAAATTTAATTTCAATCAAAGGGAAAATTTTTCAGTGGGGGGGTTATATATATACTTATTGTTGTCTATCACTAAAAACCTAGAAGATTGATAACAAACAGACAGAGGCTTTATGTCTATAGAGCTACTAAAGAAAAAAAGCAAATCAACCTAATACCTTTAAGAAAACGAGAAATCTGTAAGCTATACGTTGTAGTAGAATATTTTACTTATATATGAAGGGCTAAATCTGAAGAACCTGACGACTGAAATAAAATTAGTACACTTCATAGACAAGAAACACGTCATGTTCTTAAACGGGATCTAATCATTGCCTACTTTGTTAAAAAACACTTTCAAAACACCAATTTAATTAAATGTTCCTCTGCTTTTAAACATATTACTCTAATTTTAATGTTGAGCTTAACCGCTTCTTTATAAGAAACTATTTGGCATTCGTTAATCGAACACTTAAAATAATTATTTAGTAAAGTAGGCTTCTCAAATCCAATAACAAATAGTTGTTGAAATGTTCTGTGCTTGACCACAAGACAATTTCGAAAGTATTT